GTTGGGCGTGGGACGGCAAAGCTTCCATTCCTGGCCAGGGCACAGCCCGGGTTGGGGGCCTGTGAGAGGCAGCCCAACGTGTTTCTCTCTCATACCGATGTTTCTCTCCCTCTCCCCGCCTCCCTTCCCATGTTTCTAAAAAACAAGTGAAATCTTAAAAAAAAAAAAAAAAAAAAAAAAGCAAAGGAAGGAAAACCACTGTGTCTGTTTCAGCTAGAAAAAAAAGAACTGGACAAAGCCCTGGCTGGTGTGTCTCAGCAGATGGAACGCTGGCCTGTGAAACAGGGTCGCTGGTTCGATTCCCAGTCAGGGCACACGCCTGGGTTGTGGGCCGGGCCTTCAGTAGGGGGCGTACGAGAGGCAACCACACACTGATGTTTCTCTCTCCCTTTGCCTCTGTAAAATTCTGAAAACACAAAACAAAACTGGAGTTTGGGGAAGATGCGAGAAACAGAGCAGAGTGGCGTCCGCCGGGGATGTCCTGGCAGAGCCGGGACAGAACCGGCGCCTTCCTGACGGTGCTGTTTTCCCTTCTGGGTCCGCCTCCTGGCACAGGTCTAACTTTAATGACCAGGCTCCCTGTTTGTTTTAGGAAATGTGCAAACACGTCACAGCGAGACTGTGTGTGGACCTCAGTCTGATTCAGGGGCACATTCCCTGCAAGGTATTTGGAAATTTCCAAACTGCCATGAAACACAGACATGGCCCATCTTCCCAGCACCGATGCCCCGCCCCCACCCCCAGGTGTGGTACTTTGTGTCGGAGTTGGGATCAGACTGGAAAAGTGTGCTCGGCTTTTGATGACGTCACCCTCTGACCCTCAAACATGGCCGTAGCTGCAAAAGCCAACTTGCAAGAGACGACAGGTTCGCTCACCGGTGTTTACAGATGGGCAGGTTTGTGATGGGGGCCAGGGGAGGCCCCCCTGCTCTGGGCATCAGTGGGCTCTGGCCCTTCTCCCCGACCTGGACAGCCACCAGCCTGCTCCTCCCGCCTGCGGAGGGAAGGGCCACGACCCACGGAGGTCCGGCCGTGGGCTAGCAAGGAGCCAGTCTGCCCACTAACTATGAGAGAGGCCGAGAGGCCCCACAACCTACCCATTTCACAGATGAGGAGACTGACACCCAGAGAGTTGGTCACATGGCCCAGGGTCCTTGAGGAGGGACGAGGTCAGAGGCAGGACAAACAGCCCAGAGTCTGTCACCAGCCATTGCTATCTGGCCTCCGACTAACCAGAAGGAACAGTTATCGTCACCTGGCTCCACCTGAATTATCCATGGGAGCTCGGTGGGGGAGCTCGGCGGCCACCAGCACCCACAGGACACAGCACGGGGGTCCCCGTCGGGGCATCCCTGGTGCGCCTGTGTCAGTCACTGACCCTCTGGCCCCCACGGGGAACCCATCTCCCACATTCTTTTTTGTCTTTAATACTTTCTTAAAGATTTTATTTGGGACTGCTGGACTTCCGCCAAGATGGAGGCATAGGTGCATGTGCCGTGCCTTCTCACACAACCAAGTTTAGAGACAACTAAATATTAGCAACAGAAAACACAGCCAGAACACGGAAAATTGAACTTTTCGGAAGTCCATTAACAACAAATTCTTCAGCCTGACCGGTAAGGGGCAAAACCAGCGGCTGGTGAAGTGGAGTTGCACAGGAAAACTCGGTCAGACGGACTCAGGTGCGCGGAATCCAGGTGCAGGGTTGGACCTAGTGAGCGACCGAGCGAGCCACCAGGCGAGCGATCGCGGGGGAGACAGCGGGGAAGCGGTGCTGCGTGTTGACTGTGGTCGCGCATTTGTGCGCGGGTGGACAGGCGAGGGAGTGGGCGGTTGGACCGGGACCCAGCGGGTCCCCGCTGCACGCGGCAGGGAGGGCGCCGCCATTTCCCTGCTCTGACCCCACCTCCACATACAGCGTCACAACCCAGCGACTCTGAGTGGCCCGGCCCAGGTGAACCACCTAAGCCTCTGCTCCTCACCCAGTGAGGCCGCCCTAAACAGCAGAGGGGGCCGCCATTTCCCTGCTCTGACCACGCCCCCACATATAGCGTCACAACCCAGCGACCTGGGAGTCCAAGGTGTCGCTCCTCACACTTAAAGAGCGCGAACAGACCAAAAATGGCCCAAGAAGATCTCAAAGCCCCAGAACCTATAGACCTAAGCGATGAAGAAATAGCAAAAGTCTCAGACGCACAGTTTAAAACACTGGTGATCAGGATCCTCACAGAACTGGTTGATTATAGCCACAGATTAGACAAATATATGAAGGCAAAACTAAATGAAATGAATGGAATTGCACAGGACACCAATAGCAATGAAAAGGAAACTGGGACTCAAATCAATGGAGTGGACCAGAAGAAAGCAAATAATGGCCAAACAGAAAAGAGTCAGGAAGCAAGAATTCAAAGAAATGAGGAGAGTCTTAGGAACCTCCAGGACATCTTTAAACGCTCCAACATCCGAATTATAGGGGTACCAGAAGGGGAAAAGGCACAGCCACCAATGGAAAACTTATTTGAACAAATAATAAAGGAGAATTTCCCCAATCTGGCAAAGGAAATAGACTTCCAGGAAATCCAGGAAGCTCAGAGAGTACCAAAGAAGTTAGACTCAAGAAGGAACACACCAAGGCACATCATCATTACATTAGCCAAAATTAAAATGAAGGAGAGAATCCTAGAGGCAGCAAGAGATAAGGGGACAGTCACCTACAAAGGAGTCCCCATCAGACTGTCAGTGGATTTCTCAAAGGAGACCTTAGAGGCAAGAAGGGGCTGGAAAGAGGTATTCCAAATCATGAAATCCAAAGACCTACAACCAAGATTGCTCTATCCAGCAAAACTTTCATTTAGAATGGAAGGAGAGATAAAGTGCTTCTCAGATAAGAGCAAATTCAAGGAGTTCATCAGCACCAAGCCCTTATTATATGAAATGTTAAAGGGACTTATCTAAGAAAAAGAAGTTAAAGAAACATGAACAGTGAAAGGACAACAAACTCACAGTTATGAACGACCACACCTAAAACGAAAGCAAACTAAAAGGACAGCTAGATCAGGAGTGGAAACATAGAAATGAAGATCTCAAGGAGGGTTAGCAACAGGGGAGTGGGAGGAGGAGAAGGGGGGATAAGGTACAGAAAATAAGTAGCATAGACAGTAGGTAGAAAATAGATGGGGGGCAAGAATAGCATGGGAAATATAGAATCTAAAGGACTTGAGACACATGGTCATAAAGTAAAGGGGGGGTAATGGTGGGGATGGGGGGGTAGGGTGGAGGGGAATGAAAGGGGGAATAAAACAACTGTAACAGCATAATCAATTAAAAAAAAAAAAAAAAGATTTTATTTGACCTGGCTAGTGTAGCTCAGTGGATTGAGCTCGGGCCTGCGAACCAGACAATCGCGATTCCCAGTCAGGGCACATGCCTGGGTTGCAGGCCAGTTCCCAGCAGGGGACACACGAGAGGCAACCATACATTGATATTTCTCTCCCTCTCTCCTTCCTTCTACTCTAAAGATAAATAAATAAAATATATTTTTAAAGATTTTATTTATTTATATTTAAAAATCTTTAAAAAGATTTTAAAGGATTTCCTGGAAAGAGCGCCCAAAGCACCAGCAACACAGAGGGAAAATATGCAAACTGGAGCTGATGGACATCGGGGCTCATGAGCCGCAGGACGCAATGGCGGGGGGCAGAAACGGACGGAGAAAGTGTCTAGAGGTCACCGGTCTAAAGGGAGTTCACGCCTGAACGTACGAGCAACTCCAGCGACGCAGCAGCAACCGCAAACCAGCCCGACCAGGAAACCTGGCACAGGCCCGCGTGGCACCGTCTCCGAAGACGGACCGGACCCGCCAACAAGCCCCGAAGGCGGGTTCCGCAGCGTTGATCGCTGGGAAAACGCAGATCGAAGGCGCAATCCGAGACCGCGCTACACACAGAAGAATGACAAGCGTCGAAAACCAAAAACCAAAACAACCTGTGCAGGCGAGGACGGGGATAAACTAAAAAATAAACTAAAAAATACAGGATCCGGCAGAAGTAAGGGTCCTGCTTGAGTGTGGTTAGCAGGGTAATAACGCGGCTGTAATTTACAGTTTTCATTTGACAGTCCACCTGAAATGTCATATGGCATACTTGAGTGTGATGTTATGTTACAGAGTGGCATGCTTATGATTTTGTAATTAAAAGGGGGCGTTACTTGTGTGGAACCCTGTACATAACCCAGCTGACTTCTCCATCCACCACCCACGGGTGTCGGACAGGCGGACTCACCTGTGGGGAGCTTGCCGTGCGGGGCGCACATCCCCAGAGGGGAGGAACCTTCCAGAGACGCGACCACGCCTTTCAAAGGCGACCCCACAGCCCTGCATGCGAGTCCCGTGGCTCCTCCTCCTCACAACGCGTGGTGCTGTCAGGGGTTTTATTTGGCCTGGGGTTTTATTTTGTCGGGGGTTTTATTGTAGTGTGGGTACAGGCGTCTCATTTTGGGTATTTCTGTTTCTTTGTTTTTATTTTGAGAGAGAGGAAGCCAGAGGGCCGGGGGTGGGGAGAAGGAGAGAGCACCATGGACCCGTTATTCCTCTCGTTGCCACATTCGGTAGTTGACCCTGGCCTGCGTGCGCCCAAGACCCAGATGGAAGCTGGGGCAGCGCGCGGAGAAGGGGCCCCAGCTCAGAGCGCACCGCGGGGCCCGGGGCGGGGACCGTCAGACACCGCAGAGAGCTAGCACCGCTCTAAGCGCTTTGCACAGGCCGGCCGGATCGCGCCGTTCCGCTACCCGCGGCAGGCAGGTCCCAACCTGCGGGAGGAGGGCCAGGGCTGCGCCACACTCGCTGGCCGCACGCGCTCGCGGGAGTGGCGGAGGCCCGGCCGGCGGAACGGGATAGGGCGGGCCCGCTAGAGGGCGCTGCGGCGCGGCCTGGGACGGGCGCGGACTGGCCCTCGCGGGCCGCCGTCCGCCCTATAAAAGGCGCGGCGCGGGACCCTGAGCTCTTTCCGGGCGGCCGAAGTAGGGGTGTTCATGGCTTCGCTGCGTGGTCGTGGCCCGTGGGCGCCCACCCGCCACACCTCCACGCCGCGCCCGGGCCTTGCTGGGCGGACCGCCGGAGGCGCCTGTGGACTCGGAGCCTTCAGGGGGGCGCGCCCAGTGGAGAAGAGGCGGGAACGATGAGGGAGCGGTCCCCGTCCACCCACGCGGCGCAAGGTGGGCCGCCTCCCTGCGTGCTAGGCGACTTCCGAATGGCCGTCGGTGTGACTGCTGCAGGCCGGCGCGGTGCCTGGTGCCCGGGGGGTCGCCTTGTCTTCCGTGCGATCCCACTGCGTCGTAACCTTCATCTCCACGCTGGGGCAAAGCGGGGAGCCACGGGGGGTAACGGTCTGCTGTGATCTAGAAGCCCGGTGGCAGGGTCGCGTTGCGGACCAAACGCAGCAAAGCCCTGGCTGGGCGACGTGCTTTTTCTGGATTTATAAGAATCTCGTAGGCTGGGTGTTTTTTTTTCCCTGAGGAGTTTGCCTGCTGGAAGCTAAGCCCCCAGGAGGGCACCCTGGAGCCGGGGTGAGTTGGCAGGTTGGTGCTGGAGCAGGTGGGCCCCTGAGGTGTAGGCTGCAAAGGAAGGTCTTTCTGGGTGCCATCCTTAGTGACTGTGGGGACTGAGACCCGGAGTGGATGGTCCCTGCACACTGCCCCTAGAGGCGTTGCAGATGTGGCTGCTGTGTCACATTTGTGTCATTAGGTGGCAGAGATCAGAGAGGCCTGTCTACGTCCAGCGTTCTGGCGTGAGCGCCCGGATGATTGATGGTCTGACACTTGGCGGCCAGCTGGCCCCTGGTGGTGCTGGCGGCCAGAAGCCAGTCCAGTAAAAGCTCCTGATTCTTTCCTAGCTCGTCTGACAACAGGAGGCAGGAGCCAGCTGCCAGCGAGGGGATGAGCAGAACAGGTGAGTGGGCTTGGGGCAGACTTGACAAGGACCTGAGCGTTCCTTACTGTCAGGAAGCATTCGTGGGTAGCTGTTCAGACTGCAGCCAGGGCCACCAGAGAGCCTGGTGGCGGGCATAAGATAGGCGGGTGGCACGGGAGTTTGAGGGAGTCTCGGGCGGGGCTTGGTTCCTGTGTCGCCACCCTCCCCTCTGGTCTTGGGCACTTCCATGTGACCATCCTCATCACCGGGAGGGAAGACGCTGAAATCTCTGGGCAGGGCCCTCCTGGCTGCACCATGGTGCCCATGGCAGCTGTGGCTGTTTTAGGCACTGAGTGGGGACAGCAGGTACAGGCCCGGGGCCCTGGCCCTGGGTGGTCGGGAGGGGGACAGACAGCTGCCCTGCAGGTGCGGGATTGCCGGCACCACAGACGCGGCTGCTGTGCTGCACCTGTGACGCCAGGGCAGAGAGGAAGTGGCTATTTCTACGCTCAGTGCTCTGAACCGTGGGCACTAAGAATGGTTTGTAGCCTGACAGCCCTGCGGGCGCCCGGCCAGCAGGCAGCGTGACGCCAGGGGCACTTGCAGGTGGGCCTGCGTTCCAGCTGCAGTTGGGACCCCCAGGCAAGACCCGCAGCACTCCGGGCTCCCTCCTCTTCCCGAGTCAGATGAGGCTGTTCTGAGGACTGAAGGGGAGGGGAGTGTGCTTGAGGGCATGCACACCCTTCGGTGGTCGTCTTGGGCAGGTGTGCCGCACATCCTGGGCTGAGAACCTGTACACCAGTGTGCGTTTCTCGTGGGCTGCGGGGCCCTGGGTGGGCCAGCAGGAGCACCTCGCACACAAATGCCCCCATTGTAGGGACTGATGAGACCATCAGAGCCCAAAGAGGCAGGAGAGGTTGGGGCCATTGGGGCCGAGGGTAAGGGAGTCAGTGGTTCGCTCCCGGCACTTGCCTGTCGATGAGTTGAAAATTAGGGCCCACCGGGAACTCCTCAGTGGACGGACTGACTGCACGTGCACTGTGGTCCCAACCAGGGTACTGGGGGGCGTCACTCTCGGTAACCCCACTGGGATGGCGGGTGTCACCGGGCTCTCTTTGTCCCCTGCAGGTGGAGAGGCCAGTGCTGTCGCAGCTGCACCAGACCTGGGGCCACGTGCTCAGGTGAGCAACCCCGTACTGTTTTTCACTTTGACGTGAGAGAGAGACATCGATTTTTTGTTCTGCTTCAGGATGTGTTCGCTGGTTCCTTTTTTTATGAGCCCAGACTGGGGAGTGAACCCACAACCTCGCGTGTTGGGGTGATGCTCCAGCCAGCAGAACTGCCCGGCCAGGGCTTCCTTGTCTTTAAGTTTAAAATCGGAGGGAGACGTCTCGAACCTGTTTCCTGAAATGAGTAGGTGTGAGAGTTGAACAAACGCTGTTCATCGGTAGCTCTGCACCAGAGGCGACTTGGGGACCCTCCCAGGACCTGGCACTGCCTGAGGCTCCCTCCTGGGCAGAGGCCGGGTGCTGCAGGGGCGGGGCGGGGTGCAAATGTCTGCAGCGCTGTGGCCGGCTTGCCCGGCTGCAGAACCACATCGGAAACCAGCGTGTGTGGTCTGGGTCTGAGGGTCGGTTCCCTGGGGCTCATTTGGGTGTTGGGCCAGCATAGGTGCCAGGCCAGTCTCCCGTCCTTGTTTCTTTCTCAGGTCTAGGGGCCCGCCGGGCAGTGGGGTGCATGCGGGCGTGGGCTCTGTTGCCCCAGGGCTCCTTTAGGGCAGGCGGTTGAGTGGGGTCTGAGGTTAGAGGACTCGCACCCTCACGGGGAGGCTGGTTGGCCAGAATCGGAGGTCAGGCAGCAAGTATAGAATTATCTTTTTTTTTTTTTTCTTTTAAGATTTTGTTTTTTACGAAGGGGAAGGGAGGGAGAAAGGAAGAAGGACACCCATCAGCTAGTTGCCTCTGGCACACCCCGCCAGGGCTCCGGCCCGCAGCCCAGGCCTGTTCCCACATCTCAAACCAGACCGCCGACCTTTGGGTTTGGGGTGACGCCCAACCCACTAAGCCACACTAGCCAGGGTAGAATTGTCCTCGTTTGGGGAAGGAGTTGAGGTCTCCAGCTAAGCAGAGCCGGGTGGCCTCTGGCTGGGAGGGGGGCTGCCCCGGGAGGGGGGCTCTCGGTGGGACACGCTCTCCTGCACCTGGCAGCAGCCTCTCCCAGAGCCTGGGCCTGGCGGGTGGGGCTCTTCAAAGTTCGGTGTAGACAGTCGGCGCTTCCCCGGCCAGGGCTGAGTCGGGAACTCACAGGTGGCCCTGTGACAAAAGCCTACGAAGCGCCAGGCCTGGGGGAGCAGAGTTGGGTGTGGAGGCGGGGTGACTGTCGGCTGACCTCCGTCACCTCACCCCAGGTGGGGTGTTAGTTACTGATTGCCGTGTGATAAGTGGCACAGGATCTCTGAGCTCGAGGACAGCAGAGGGTTGTCACCTTGCCGTTCTAGGGGGTTCAGAGCGGCCCGGCTGGGTCTGTCATGGGGCTGGGGCAGCTGCTGGGGCCCTGCTCTGCCCTGTGGGAGGCTGTGCCCACTGCTGCATGCCAGGGAGCAGTGTCCTTCAGCAGGTTTGGGGACAGAATGGCTGCGTTAGGAGAAGGGACACCTGGACCTTGGGGCCGTTCTTGCTGCCACTGGGCAGCCGCTGGGTTTGGCCACCTTCCCTCGAGTTAGGCATTGGGTTTTCCATGGCTTGTCTCCAGGGTGACATGGAGTGGCAGGACTTAGTGGGCCTGCTGACCAGAGAGGGGGACGAGGGGGTTGCTCATGTCCACTGGTGAGCCCAGGGGCCAGCTCGGGGCTGGAGCCCATGGGGTGCAGAATGCAGAAGGGATCCATCCCTGCGGGTGACTGGGATTAGAACCCAGCTTTGGACGGAAGCTTGCTGTGGGGCGTGGTGTTTTCTTAGAGCCCGGAGCTGGTTTCTGGTTTTGAACTTTCACGAGGCTAAGTGTGTTACTTTTGCCATGAATCTCACAGAAATTGGGCGGCAAGGGGAGGGTTCAGCAGAGGGAGCTGGGCTCAGTGGGGGGGGAGGCTGGGGAGCCGGGGCGGCTTCAGCAGCCACGTCTTTGCATTCCAGGAGCCGTTCTGCTCCGCTGTTCTGCTCCCCTGGTCGAGCTGAGAGGGCCGAGGTCTGGCGCCGGGTGGTCCAGGAAGCGTCTGGCGTTCTGTCTACTGTTGGGGCTGCGCTGGACACGCCCAGGCACCCTCCCTGGCTGAGGGGGGAGCCGAGAGCCAGGAAGACCTGCCCCGCGGACATCACAGCAGCCGACGTGACGCAGAGCGGCCGGTGCAGGCCTGTCGGAGAGCTGGGGCGGCCGTGACCTCGGGACGAGGAGGCCGTCGGTGCAGGTCGCTGGGAGCAGCCTGTGCTAGGCTGGGCCCCTACCGTCCTCTGTGTGGGACCCATGCAATAAAGTGGCACCTTTTGTTTACAGCACACAGATGACAAGCCTCCAGTGAGTGGATGTCACAGAACCCTGCACACTGCGTCAGCCATTTGTAACGCAAGTTGGGAAAAATTGTTACTGTGTGTGTGTGTGAGAGAGAGTGAGGAAACTTACCTGTGATGATAGGCTGTCCCCCAGTCACGAGGGGGCTGCTCCTGAGCGGTGACGAGGCTCGTCACAATTTCACGAACTTAATGCCTGTGGGAGGACAGGCTGCCCACGCCCACGCCCGTCCTGCACACGGCACGTCCCTGGGCAGGGATGGTGGCGGTGTCGTGCGGTTCTCACCATACGTGCAGACAGCACACGCAGGCCAGCGGGCTCACTGCACAGGATCCTCGCTGCGGGGTGGGGGCGGGCCGGGGGCGGGCGCCGAAGCTCGGTCGGTCCCCATTCCCATCTTTGTTTGTCTGACAACGTTTCTGGAAGGTTCCGTGTGTCTGACAACAATGCGTGTTCCTCCCAGACTTCACGCTGTACTGTCCAGGGTCCCTTCCACGGAGACCTCACGGGTCCTTGGGACCCCCTGTCGAGAGGCTTAGTGACATATTTCAGGGTGGCTCGGCCTCTGGTGCCTGCACTGTGGCGCCCAGGGTTCCAGGTGGCCGGGGCACTGTCCCATGCTGGACTTTGAAAGGCAGCCTTGTACTGTCCAGGTCCTTCTGACCTCGGGGACACAGCGGTGGCAGGAGCAGTCCAGAGAGGGTTCCTGGTGTCCAGGCCCCTTGTCCCACCTGAGCCTTGTGGCCAGCGTTGCACTTCCCGGATGAGCTTTGTCAGAAGACAGCCCTGCTCGGAAACCCAGTGGCATCCCTTCCCTTCCTGCCTTCTGTCCCCAGTTCTGCCACTGTGGTGCCTTACCAGTAACTGTCCTTTGCGTCACTGGCGGGGTGGTTTGACCACATGAAAACCTGTGCAGGCAGACACCCTTTCTCAGGTTTTCCCGGGGGTGTCTGGGGATATGTTCTCTTGGCATCTGTCTAAACCTCTTTCTGAATTTCCAGGCCACCCTTGGCTGGCGTTCAGTTCTTCAGCTTTGGACCCTGCTGCTCTAAGTTGTCACGTGACAACGTGGCTGTCCCTCCAAGCATTGGTCTGTGGGTGCCCCTCTTGGCAGTGCTGCTCCCAGTAGAGATCTGTGCTTTCAGTCCGGGGTAAAGAGCTTCTCCAAAGGTGCGAGTTTCTGTGCCGTTGGTGTGGCTGCAGCGGCCGGGGTGACCGACCGTGGAGAGGCGGGTGAGCGTCAAGCAGTTCCGGTTGTCCCAGCGTCCTGGCTCGGCTGCGTAGCAGCACCACTAGCAATGCTGCATGCGGGCCCCAGCGTTGCCCGAGTTCACAGTGTCACCCTAACCACAGTGGCAGGTGTGGAGCCACGAGAGAGCCCTTCCAACTGGAATAACATGCTCACGTTTTATGCATTCATGACATGCCTTTCTGTTAATTTTTCTTGACGTTACTAGGCTACATGGTTTGTGAGTTTTTTCAAATTGTTACAGATCAAAAGTCTTCCAACGTTATTTACTAAAAAGCCACATCTAAATGGACCCGCACAGTTCAAGCTCGTGTCCAGCAAGTCAGCCGTGACCTTGGCGAGCAGAGGTGGCTGCCTGTGCGTAGCCTGTCATCCAAAACTATTTGAATTCTCTCCCCCCAAGGATGGGGAATCTGGATGGAAGAGATAGGTGTTTTGATCAATAATGGGTACATAATTGAAACTTTGGAACATGTTTTACCCAAAATGTGTTAAAATGAATTGAAAATGTAATGCCTTCTTCAGGGAAAGTATTTCTGTGTTGGCAAAACTTGAGACTAAATTGGTCTCGAAACAACTATTTTTTCCTTCAGATTTTATTTATCCGGAGAAGGAGAGGGGGATAAACATCAATCGGTTGCCTCTCACTGGCCCCCCAGCTGGGGACCTGGCCAGCTGCCCTTCTCCCTGAGCCACACCCACACCCCCCACGGGTCAGGGCATGGAACCCATGATGTGCATTTCCCTGGCCTCACAGGCTGAGTCTAGAGCTTGAGGAAGGTGTGTTCTGGCTCGTGGGGCCCCCTGTGGGGAAGGGGTGTCAGGCCCTGGGGTGCACGGCCTCCCGCTGGAGTTCACACCCAGCAGTTCACCGGAACCAGTGAAAGGGCCCCTGGGGGGCCTGAGTTCTGAGCAGCAAGCTTGACAGGAGACAGACCACGGTTCGCCGCCAGCTGCTAGAACGCCCTTCCTGCGGGTCCAGGCCTGCCTACTGCCCGCATGGCTGGTCCCTGGGACTTCAGGAACCAGAAAAGAGGGTCGGCTTCCAGCATCCTGTCACCCACAAGGTCCTTGTCCCTGTTCATCACCCCAGGCGGCTCCAGGAGTCTGAGCATCAGGCAGGGCTCTGGGAGGCCCCCTGGGGCCCCCCGCAGCTGTGCCCCAGAGCCCACACCACTGTGTGCGGGAGGTGAGGGCAGCCACCACCCCACACCCAAGCTGCTGCGGGTGTGGGGCTCTGGGGTGCAGGGGAAGGGGATGAGCGGAACTCCAGAGGACTCACAGAAGAGCTGTTTATTCACATCAAATGTACTTGAAAGTAACAAAACCCAACTTGGCCTGGGTAGGTCCCCTTGGCCAGCCCTTGGTGAGGCCCCTGGTCCTCGGTCCGGCCTTCCCCCTTCCAGCCTCTGGTGCCAGCTACCCATCCTGACTGCTGGACCCTGGGGGAAGGGAGAGGCGAAGTACAGCGGCCTCCGATCACCAGCCCAGCTCCTGCAGCCCCATCCCTTGTCCGGTGGTGACCGGGTGAAGAGGCCAAGGGCCGCTGCAAGGCCCCAGAGTGAGGGGCCCAGGCCCCAGACACCGAGTCCTGGCCCCGCCGTCAGGAGTACTTGCTGTCGGAGATCTTCTTCCACAGCAGCGTCTTGAGGTGGCTCAGCACCAGCGAGTGGTGCGCCTCCACCTGGCTGGCCAGCCCGCTCAGCGTGGTGCAGGCGCGCAGCTGCTTGCCCAGCTCCTCGCGCAGGTCGGGGGGTGCGCCGGGCAGCAGATAGTCCCGCAGCAGCTCGCACACCTTGGCCAGGTTGGGCTGGAGGAGGTCGCCTTTGCACTGGCGCATGAGCTTGTCACAGGGCGCCCGGCAGTCGCGCCCGTAGGTGCAGTCGGCGCTGCGATCGCAGCGGCGGCCGCGTAGGAAGCGGCGCACGGCGGCCTCAGGCGCCACCTGCTGGAGGTCGGCCATCCGGAAGTCGTGCTGGGCCGTGTAGCCCACGTTGGCCAGCGTGGTGTCGCACATGTAGAAGTTCCCGTGGGTGCCGTGGAAGAGCTCCTCCACGAACTCCAGCAGGCCGATGGCGATCTTCGCCCGCCAGGGCCACGCAGGCCCCAGCCACTGCTGCAGGGTCCGATGCAGGGCGGCTGGCAGCAGCGGGCGCAGCAGGGGAGGGAGTGCGGCACTGCGCCGGGCACCGTGCGGCACGCCCTCGGTGACGTAAAGGTCCCCACAGTAGCCCAGCAGCCGGGCGGCGTGCCCCTGCCCCCCCAGGGAGAGCAGCAGCAGGAACTCGTTCTGCTGCAGCAGGGCCCACACCGACTTGGCCTCGGCCAGCGACACCCTGCCGTCCTTGTTGAAGTCCGCCATGAGCAGGACCTGGCCAGCCAGCGCAGGCAGGGAGGGCAGGTCTCCCAGGTTCGCCTGACGTGTGGGACCGAAAGAAAGGGAGACAGTGGCCTCAGTGCTGGCCCTGGTGTGGCCCTGCTGAACCCTTGGGTGCTGGCTTGGAGGACTGCCCGTGGGATCACCCGACAGTCAGGGGAGCCCGGGACCTGACCCCACCTCCCGGAACCCCACCCTGACGGCCCCCCAGCTGCATCTCTCCGTTAACTACTCCGAGGGACTGTACCTGTGGGCCTGGGGGGGGGGGGACACTCAGCACAGAGGTGAGAGCCTGCTGGGTGGGCCGGTCACTGCTCCCCTGCTCTCAGCCCACACCTGCGGCACCCCCTCTGCACACACATGGGGACAGCAGGCGGTTCTGGGCAAGGCTCCTCTTGGAGCTGGGGGCCCTCACCCAGCCCACCGCCGCCCTGAGCACACGCCGCTGGGTGTGAACTGGGCGCAGCCCCAGGCAGAGCCAGCTGACCTTGAGGAAGTTGAGGGTCATCTCCCGGAACTCCTTGATTGAGGTGCCCCGGGTGGGCTTGTCGAACAGCACCAGCTCCCGCCGGGTCACCGCCTCTGGCCCGGCCTTGGGGTCCAGGCCGTCCTCGATGCCACACTTGATGGTCACCTCCTTGCCCTGCCACAGCCCGCTGTACACCTGGATGGGCCACAGGGGCCGGCTGTGTAGGGGACCCTCCCACTGTGCCCAGGTCCCCGAGCCCCCGGACACCCTGGGGCGGGGGACGGCCCGGCCACACCAGGCCTGCTGGCTCACCTGCCGGCCAGGGGAAGCGGAGAGGCAGGTCCTCCACTCCAGCGCACGCAGGCTGCACAGGTCCCGGCAGAGGGGGCCAGAGATGATGCCCTTCCGGTACTGGTCACACTGAGGAGAGGGGTATTCCAGGAAGGGGCCTGGGGTCGTGGGCCGCTCCAGCCCTCCCCCACCCTGTACATGCTGCACCCCCCAGGCTGGCAGGTGGAGGCCCTCATCCCGTCTGCAGGTGGCTCCCTGGCTCTTGGGCCACAGCACCTGTGAGAGGGGCCCAAGCGCCCTGCAGCCAGTGACCAGGCAGCTCCTGCCACACGGCCCAGGACATGAAAGCCGCCAGCTCCTCAGAAACAGTGTCCGTGCCCACCCTCCCTGGTGTGGCCCGTCCCTGGTGGCTGCCACAGGAGCAGCAGAACCTGTGAGTCTGGGATGCAGTCGTGGTGTGGGGCGAGGGGGGCGCTGTCTGTCCCCTGTACCCTGCGGCCTGCCCCTCCCCCACCCTGGGAGGAGCTCTCAGCAGTACTCCCGTCCCTCCAGAGGAGCTGCTGCCCCTGCCCCTTCCGGCAGGCCAGGGGGCAACAGAGCCAGCC